CCACCTATAAGGGCAATTAAAACTCCAGATAACTAATGAAAATATGCCTCTTACATAGGTAAATTGTCAAGTGTTCTGGTCTCATTTTCAGATCAGATTCGTTTCCAATTCTTCAACATCAGAAGAGATTTAGGAAATTTGTGTAAGTTTTTATGGAGAAAAGATCACTGGCTCTTAAAATCATTGGATGTCTTCTGTGTTGAACCATATGCAGGTATGTCTATTTTCATTTCCAGCACCCCCTGAGGTCCCCAAACAATCAGAAAATTTGTGTTTCTAAATGTGGAGTTTTCTGTATAGTCAGAAATAGAAATAAAAATAAAAATAAAAACAAAAAAAAACCTCAGAAAAAAGGATTAGTGACTTCCAGCATGATAAATACATGACTTCCAGCATGAAAATAAATTCTGAGAGTGACAAACAGGATTTGTACTTACTTATCTACACTAAATCATTTCTGTTTATTATCACAAAACAAAAGAAAAAAGTTCTCTAGATAATAACTACAGAACCTCAGCCCAGAGCTGGGGGTATGGCCCAGAGCTGTCTCCCAGGGAAAAGACCAGAAGCACAAAAACACTGTAAAGTTTTAGATACAAACACTGGAGCTTTTCCTGGTGTAAATTATTGACTCTGTAGAGCTTCGACAGCTGCAGAGCAGACTCAGAGTAATGAAATTCTGCCAAGTGAGACCCACGGAAATGCTAACCAATAAATATAGATTTATCAAATCACAGCTGAAGAATTACTGTTTTTGACAAAGGGATATCAGCAGTGATTACTCTGATGCTTGGTCCTGAAGCAGACACCTCTGCAAGGAGCACTTGCCAATGCTGCTTTTGGCTGGCTGTCCTGCTGGCTGTTATCTCCCCCCGTGCCTGACTCTGCTTTAGGGTTTGCAAGAGGTCATTTCTGCTCAAGCACAGGTCTTGCAAGTCCCTGGTAAAACTCTGCTCTGCTTGGCTGTGCTCTAACAACATCTCATCTTATTTACTTGGGAGCTACTGCAGCTCTCTGTTTCTCTTGGAAATAGAACCCTTTTCATTCTTCCTTTTGATCCTACAGGTAGGATTTGAGCAGTGGAACTGTGGGATACAAAAAGCATCCTTCAGACCTCGAGAGACCCTGCCTGCAAAGCCCAGCTCCTGCTGCAAGAGTTCTGCAGGAGCTTGCTCTGCTTTCCAACTCGGTGTTAATTAAAACACCATATTAAGGCTGCTCCGGAGAGTCAGTTAATTGATTATAGATATCCTTTCAGAATGAGCTTTAGAGGCTATATTGCATTTCATAATAATGACTGGAAAATTTTAAGGTGCCTATCTGGTAAAAATATGCATATATATGTATCCATGAATATGAAAACCATCCTAAATGCATTACCATAGCTGCTGTTTATGAAATGGGAGACACTTGAAATGGTAAAATAATGAAAATCCGAGTGCAAATCAAGGCTTGCTCCTCTTTACGCAGTTCTGAAAGGTACATCGTCAGTGTATCAATCATCCCCCATAAACACTTAGAAGTGCAGATCCATAATCAGTAATGACTTGTGGAAATTCTGAAGTAGCCCTCCTGAGTGCATCCTTCTGTAACTATGCCTTGGGGCCATGATAATCAGCGTGAGCAGCAGAGAACAGATTTAAGAGCTTTCATCTTGAAGCTGATTTATATTCTTGTACTTATGTACAGTTCCTCCCCAGGTCTGCATCACCCTGTGCTAGAGTGCCACGGGAAAGCGTTTCTCCACAATTCCCACCAGAGAACCCCTCCATCTCCAAGAAAGCCTTCCAAAAATGTATCAAAGAGCAGAGGACACTCTGAGGATGCTCTTGACTTATTTTATCCTCCTCGTTTCCCTGAGAGGTTGCACTGAGACCACACTCACATAATTCATTCACTATACAAGTGGGGGGGGAAACCTCTTGCTGCACAATAATTTATAATAAATCACTCATGAACCCATCAACTCAATCTTCATTACAGTCTATTGCTACAAAGATTTCTATAGTCTGACAGAAGACTTACTGAGTATAAAGATTTGCCTGAGGGCCTGAATGTAATCAGAGAGGGACAGAATAAAAACACAACTGGCTTGTTAGTACTGCTATGCAAAAAAAAACGAGGAACTCTTAATAATGGGAAGCTCATGGGAAAAGATAGATTTCTCTTACTCACTTTTCCCAGGACAGCAAGACCTTGCCATATTCAATTCATTTTTCACAGGGATATTCCCACTGATTTGGGGGAGACATCTGGTTTGGGTTGGGGAAAGTTGGTGTTCCTCAACACCTGCTTTTTGCAAAATCCAGGAGAATTCAATACAGTTAATCAGGAAAACTGGAGAATAATCAAATTATCTGAAACTGCAAAATGACCTTTTCCTTATTCCTTCAGCAAAAATATCCCTCAAAAAAGCCCAAATCCAGACTACAGAGCACCAGACAGGTGGATAATAAAGAATGCTGGTGCTTTTGTGGAGTTTCTCTTCCCTTCTGCAAGTTACACTCCTTGACCAAGCCAGGTCCAAACAGTGGAGGGCAGAAAAGCTGATCCTGACTGACAGATCACACTCTGGAAAAGCAGTAAAATACTTCCCTCTCTGATACCTGAGGACTTAGATTTGTGGGGTTTTAACCTTATTCTCATGTAGTGTCTTTTTAACCTGACAAATGCAGTAAAATGCTGGGTTTGTAGCCCATACTCTATCTGCAGCATGGAATCCCTCCTGTGCTGACTGCACTGGAGTGACCCCACCCCAGGAATCACAGGCAGGGAGTGAATCCCAGCTTGTACAAATGCCTGGGAAATGCCACTGCTGTCACAGAGTGACAGGGTCGTGGCTTCCTACTCTTGGACCAGATGCAAAATGAGCTCAGGACAAGGGGCAGTGACTCAGTGACACGGCTGGAGCCGTGCCCAGCCCTGGCTGCTCCATCCCTTGGTGCCTTCCCAACACCTCTGGAAAAGCATTTACCCCCAGAAGCCCCCATTGTCACAGCACTCTGAGCTAATTGCACTCATTAACCCTGCAAAAGCCTGGCCTGGGCATGGTGCAGATGTTGGGGAGGAGATGTTTCACTGAGGGAGAAATCCCACAGCAGAGCGTGGGGAAAAGGCCCTGCAGGAGCATCCCTTGGTCAGACTGGGCCCAAGCACAGACACGGGGCCCTGCAAGTGAATTACACACAGCAACTCACTGGAATTCTCCACAAAGTAGGAGACTGCTCTTCTCTCAGCACAAAGGGGGATGCAGCACGAATGAGGCTGAAAACAAAGGAAACTGGAGAATGGGAAATTGTGTTTATCAGGAGGAAACAGGGAAAGCAAGAAAACAAAATCCAACTGCCTCGAGAATGAAGCTGCCTGAAGCAGGCTACCTCTATTCTGACTCCCTTCTGTTACACAGAGATCAGAGTTTATATTGGTTTTTCGCTGCTGCTGACTCAGAGGCCCAGACACTCCACATCAGCTGCAGCTTTGGAGGATAAATTGCCAGCTCAAATACATTCTGCAGCACACTGGAGAGTGAGAAGTGATGATGATTTCTCTCCTGCTCGTGTCTTGACAGGCCCAGGCTCTCCCCTGCTGTCCTTACCCATGCAATGACAGCACGGCAGGTGTCGGCTCTGGGCTGGCCTACAGCTCTGAGGACAAGGTTCATTTTCCAAATGGCCTTACAGCTGATCAGTTATCTGCAAGTGACCACCCTGGCCTTTACAGTCCTGTGCCACAGAGAGAATTTCATCCACTGAAGTATTTTATTATGCACAAAACAGGCCAATACATTAACATCCATACAGACACTTGAGTTGGCACATGTATAGTCAAACAGATTTCTGCTTGGATTCAGCTCTCAAATTCTGCTTGCCCCACCCATTCAATTCCATTGATTTCTCCTACTCAATCTACCCCTTCCTGAATGTTTCTGAGCTGTTTTACGAGGAAATAAAAAAAACACTGTCGGTTTTCACACATCTGAACTTTCTCCCAACTTCCTTCATAAAAATGTTCAACTTCTTCCTCCTGGAATTTTTATTTTTCAGATCCTGTACTGTGTCCCTCAGCTGTGGGGCTGGGCAGGCCTCGTGTCCTTCCCTGGCATCCATCTCTGTCTGCAGCTTTGCTCAGCTCCCCCTTCCCCCCACTCCTTATCTTGCCATGGATTGAGCATTTCTTGGAATACATCATCCCGTTGCTATCTGTCAGCCTGGGCTGCCTTCTGCTGAAGACATATGGAGAGGCATTCTTTCTCCTTGAGGGGTGACCAAGCAGACAAGGCTTTCGGAGCAAAGTCTCCTCAGGAAAATGAGAATTGCGCAGCTCCGGAACGAGCTCTGGGAGCCTGGCTGCAGGAAATTGCACAAGCCCAGACAAAAGCATTTCTCCCCGCTGACCCAAACCATGTTTGCTGGGGCTGATGATTAATATTGCTTCTTGAAACAGTTTTCTCATCATCAGTTCCTGCTAATGAAGTTGGCCTGCTGGAGTGGAGGCAGGACTCGGGGCAGCCGAGTTCCGTCTGCAGTTGGAACGTGGCTCCTCCGGGTATGAGACCAAAGACAGCCAAAGTTCAGGAATTCTGCTGCTCTGCCAACAAACTGATCCAGCCAGCTGCTAATCTGCTCCTCAAGATACCACGGTCACACAAGATAACATTCAGAATTCCATTAACCTAGGAGACTTCAACCACTTTTCCCTTCTACCTCACAAATAAAAGTGAATGAGATGGAGTTTTTCTCGCATATTCTTCTCGCAGCCTTTGTTATGCTTCAGGTCTGCTTGTCTGATTCATTAAAGTGCCTTGATGCACAACGGATTAAGTACTTAAATAAATAGTTCACTTTTCCTCTAAATTGCAAAAGTGATTTCAATTTTTTAAGCTGTTCACAGAAAACATTTTAAAAAGATAAACATCCCATTCTTTGTGCAAATATAGAATGTTTTTCATGGCCCAACTTTCCATAAAAAAGTCTATAAGGACAAAAAAAGTTCTAAAAAAGAAGAAATGTTTTGAATTCTTGCTTTGAAAGACACAGCAACAGTTTCAGATGCAGCAGACACAAGGTTGAGCTGCTCAGAGGCAGACTGGCAGCTCAGCCACGTGTTTTTAATCACCCCACTGCAGGAAAGGGGTTGTTCTGGAGAAAACAATCCCCACTGTGTGGACTGAGAACACCCTTGGAGGAGAAAGGAGCAGCTCTCACCCTGAGTTCACTACAGGCCTAGGTACCAGGATGGATCAGTCCCATTCCAGCAGGAATCTCTGGCAGAGTCTGCCTGTGGAAACAAAACAAGAATATTTGCTTAGACACTGCTTATTTCAGTATGAAACACGCTGGTCAAACATTTCCCTTATGTTATTTTCATGCCCCAGGGCAGTCTCAGATGGGGATTGATGTCATTTTCTTGAAATATTTGCTGTAAAATAAAAGCTGCTTGTTTTTCAGCCAAGGAAATCCACCCTGGGAAATACATGGAGGCTGAACTTGGCATTTTCTCCCATGGGCAGCACATCCTGGCCCTGGCTGCACTTCCCAGCTGGGTTTACCCTGCAGCCCTGCCACAGCCCCAGAGTCCCATGTGTGATTTCTGGAGTGCTTGCAGCCTGAGGCAGGAGCCAATCACTCTGGGCTCCCTACAGAGCTAAAAAAGAGAAACCATCTTCTCAAACAGGTGCTTCAGCCCATGGGAACTACTGACCAGGCTTATTTTTGCCATCACCGTCACAGAGCAATTGGTCTCCTGATTTGGGAGACTTATAAAGGTGCTTAAGATTAGACAGAATTAAATCCCCAAAGCCAGCCCAAATCAAGCACCGGAGAAGTCAACATTGTGACCACAGAGGGACCTCTGCTGAAATAAATCTCCCTGCATAAATCTATAAGAACAGTCAATAGAAATCATTGGATAATGATCCAATTTCCCCTTTTATAATCCTGACTGAAGTTAAATCTCTTCTTCAAATTTGCCCTCCCTCGCTGCTTGCATGTCCCAGCTAATTGCATTATCCCTGCTGGAAGCACCTGGCTCCTGCTCAGGGCAGCTCCAGGGCCCCATCCCTGCCCAGGACCACAGGTGGGTGCTTTCAGCTGACAGGTTCCAGACACAGCCAAGCACTTCATATTTCAACAATACAACACCAAAATGTACCTTGTAATGAGTTATAGGTGCAGTTCAAGCCTCACAATTCCGTCTGCATCTGCTCAGTCTGTTTGCCAGCAGAATTTTGTCAGTCCTTCCTCACTGAGTCCAGCAGGCACTGCCACTGTCAAGGTACCTCTGTGCTTTGGGCTCAGCAGCCAGACCATGAGATGGTTTGAGATGGGATGAGAACAATTCCTCACCACTTGCTCCAAAGATGAGGTGTTTTAAAAATGTGACAAATTCTCACCTGTTAGAAAAGGTTGGAATTTTAAACACAGTATCAGTAGCCTACACCTGCAGGTTTCATTTCAGAAAAACCACTAAGATACCAAAAGAAACATTTCTAAGTGTTAGCAGTGAGAGACAGAATCCAGGGAATGAAGGGATGGAGGAAACTGTTTTATCTGGTAGCCTGAGTAATGAGCTGTCTATATTACAGGGAGAAAATGAAACTCCAGGATGGGAAATGCAAAGTAGATTCGTAAGTGCATTAAAGGAATTCAGATTATTTCAGGTGAAGGAACACAAATAAAAATTAGGAAGGGAAAAAAGAGTTCCTGGCTTGAGCATGTGAAACTAAGCAGCGATTCCTCCTCTCAGGAATGTTTCTATATTTTCAGCTCGGAAATGTCGTAATCCAGGTGCAGCTGGTACATTTAGTCACATCCATAGATCTTCCTATTTTATTTTTTAATATCTAAGGTTACCTTTGCCAAACACTTCTAAAGCATTCAGGGCCATTTTCTCCTTCTCTAAAAAGCTAGAAAAGCAAACACTTTTGTAATAACCTTTGTCATAGTAGACAAAAAATCCCAAGGGATTTAATTTGACAGAGTCTCACAGGCGTGAAGGGTCACTTCCATGCCACTGACTCGAAATGAGAGACAAATCCAACAGAAAAAAACAGTGGATATTTCTCTTTCCTGCCAGCAAATGGGCAATCCAGGAATGCAGAGATCTCCTGTAGTAGCAGTACAGAAAAGGTCCAGTAACTTTATAAGAAGGAATTAATTAAAGCAACTCTACAGAAAATGGGTAGGGGTACTGTGAGCTGATAGAAACCAATCACTACCTGATAAATCAACATGAAAAACCAGAAAAGTGCCTCAGCCCAAACATAACCTGGGAAAAAAGAGCTGAGTTTTCCTAAAGATCAGAAGGGCACTGATGCAGAACTGGATTATTGGGGGTGTAAGAGGGACAACCATCACCTATCCCATGGAACTGCAGAAGGGATTTCAGGACCAGGCAGAAATGAAATTAAATTAAATATGAAATGAAATGTAATCAGACATTCAAGGGACCACCCTGATGTAACGGGGGATCCCAAATTTGAGAAGGTGCAAAGGCAGCACATTAACCAACAGTGCAGTTCTAGGAAAATTCCCTCCATGATATTTCTGTCAAATTTACGGTATTTTTATGTAGGCTTTTTTTTTTTTAATTTAATTAAAAAGGAGGGGTGAAATGGGCAGAACAGTGATTTCTCCTTAGCCCTTTAGAGTCATCAGTGTGCTTTTGGAATACAGTTCTTGCTCTGCATAATGCCAGCAATTCAGAGTGATGCTGTGCTGGGGCCTTTCTCATTTTCCCTTTTCCTCTAATTAGACAATATTTTAACAGCACTTCCCAGAATTAACACTGGCACAAGGCCCTGGCCATGGAGCATGCACATGACCATGCACACACAGCACAGTGACCCTGCTGCTCCCTTCAGCAGGAGATGGGAGCCTTTGCAAGGGCTGTTCCCAAAACACAAGGAAAATGTGACTGAGTTCCTCAGGGCCTGGAGCTGACTGCAGTTTATGACTTCAGAGAGCTCTGAAAGCTCCAGACATTTCCTTAGAGGTCACAATCCCATTCATTCACTGGAGAACAGCTTTTCTTTGTCTAACTTTCCTTGTATGTTTTACGTTACTTGTTTGTCAGCCTTAAAAGCTACTTGGGTAACCATAAATTGTAGCTAATATGGCAATTTCCCCAGCACCAGCAAGGTTTCATTAAATCCTAAGGTTTTCTTTAAAATTCATAGTGGAAAAGATGATGCTCCACAGTTGGGTTTTTTTAATGCGTAACAGAGCAAGTGCACTGAACTCCATTGATTACTCCACAGGCTGTACAGGAATATCAGAGTGGCATTCTTCTGAGACATGGCTATTACTAAAACATAACCATAAGCATATTAATTACATCTGTTGATTAGTGGGCATCCCAGTACCTGTGCTCAGGCTGTGGCCCCGTTACCCCAGGAAAGCGCTCCGTGGGCCCTGCTCCATGCAGAGCTCATGGTTTCCCTGATGGATTGGCATTTCCAGGTCAGCTGAGGTCAATCCAGAGCAGCAGAGCCCGGGGCTGTCCCTGTTACACAACCCAGGCTGGGCTCCTCCAGCCCGGCTTTGGTGCAGAGCTGAGCTGGCAGCCAGGAGAAAGCAGGAGGGACATTGATCTCAATAAATGATAAACCCACGCTCTAAATGCCTAACACTTGCAAATCAATTAGAGCAGGGCAGAGATGGAATGATACATGATGTCTGCTAACAAAGACTTGCAAAATATTACTCTCAAAGGCTTCATTTCCTTTTTTGATACACTTGGAATAATATTTGCTTCCTTGAGACTGAAACATCTGAGTCCAGGGCAGGAACATTCAATCACATGAGTAGTTTGGAAATATTCATTCAGACTATTTCTGTGAATGCAAACAAATTTCAGAAGTGCACTGAGGCTGTGAGAAAGGTGTTTGCCTTTTTCCTGATTTCTGGTTTATATATTCACGGTGTTTAAAAGAAGAGTAAAAAGTTCCCAAAGGATTGGATGGAAGACTGAGAACACCAGAGGTCAATTACAGCACGACACAACATCCCCACATCCCTCACTCCCTGTGCCTGCAGAGATTGTGATCACTGCAGAGCCAAGCAGGGAAGCCTTTGTTCTCCTTGAAAGGTGTTTTTCCAACATGTGCCTTCAAGATGATGGTTGAGTTATTTTTTCTTTTTTTTTCCTTTGTGGTAAATCCTGAACTTTCACCCAGACGCCAGTACCTAAATGAAGCTTCACTGCAGCTGAAGATCAAAAATGTTTTCTCCCCTCAAAAAATAAAGTTCTCAAGAAACTGAAAATAATGATTTTCTACTTTTATCTTTGCAGAGAGACAAGACTTGAGGCTGACAACTCTGTATAAACCACCAGCACCCCCTCAAACAGCCCATTTCCACCCCATTTCTTCACACTTCTCAAAAAAGGTGTTAAGTAAGATTTTGACTTTCTGTTCACAGGGATGATAGGCCATGTATCTTCATTCAAATTTCTCTCAATTTGTTTCTTAGTCTAAGGAGCAAGTTCTTGAGAATAAATGTTAATTTCAGCCCACTTCCCGGGAAGTCAATGCATTAATAAATTAAGCCAGAAAGATTCAGACCTACACACAAACTAGCTGCCAGAAAAAGATTCGAGTGTCTTCTTCCCCACACTGAGAATTTATTATTTTCAGCAGAAATCTTCTCAATAATTCCTCTCCTGTAAAAATACTCTATTTAAAATATTTTTTTGCCCCCAGAGACCCAATCCTGTACAGACTAAGCCCCATCTCTCAGTTGAGTAGCACTGAAGTGTTGTTACCAACTTAACCCACCCTCGCAGAGACTCCCATTTTCCATTCTGTTTAGAATTCTGCAGGGTAGCTTCAGATCCCCAAAGCAAACATCTTGGAGATACAGAAATCACTTCTTAACAAAAAAACACTTTATCATGGACACACAGCTTCCAATTGCCTCCACCCAGCATTTCCCAGGATGCTCCCGACCTCTGCTCCTGCATCTCATAAGAGTTGTAAATATTCCTCAAGACTACCATGAAAATAAGACTCAAACAAGCAAAAGATCAGCTGTGGCTGTGGTAGGGGACAGGAGGAGCCAGGCTTTCCACACCAGGCAGGAATTCTCTATCAATGAGAAGTTTGCAGAGGTAAAAACAAGTAGAGGTATAAAACAAGTTCCATACAAGAGGTATAAAACAAGTTCCAGGCTGACATTACCCAAATGAATTTTCAGATTTCAGCTGAGTGCAGTGGCTGCTTCCCCCAGCACACAGGGCTAATAAGTTCCTCAGTGTGCAAGTATGTGTTTGTGCAGTGTTACCGTGGTGGGAGATAAGTGACACAAGTGCTCTGCCTCTCCATCCCACCTTGGAGGATCACAGGGAAACCCTTGGAGAGACTGAAAATCCTGGGACAGTCACAGCTCACAACAACGAGCCTCTCACACTTTGCAGCAAGGGAAGCTCACAGAACTCATCCCACACATCCAAATAAAACCGGGATTCCAGGCTCAGCCTGGTCCTCTCCAGCAGCAGCCACTGCTCCCTGAACAGAGGAGGCACAAGGAATGGAGCACACGGCTTTGTCCCTCTGCTTGTGCTCCAAACCCTCACACCTCTCTAATTGTGCTACAAACCTCTGTCCTCCTAAGGGTCTTAACAAACCCTTGCACCCCTTTAGTTGTGCTAACAAGGCTTTGCACCTCTAATTGTGCTAACCCTTGTCCTTCTTAATTGTGCTAATAAAGCCTTGGACCTCTTTAGTTGTGCTACAAACCCCTGCGCCCCTGGAACTGTGTTAACAAACCCTTTCACTACTTTAATTGTGCTAGAAAAACATTGTCCCTCTTTATTTGTGTTAACAAACCCCTGTCCCTCTTTAATTGTGCTCACAAACCCTTTTCCTTTTCAGCTGTGCTACAAACCCTTGTCCCTCTTTATTGTGTGAACAAACGAAGTTTCACTGCTGACAAACACAAATGACACATCAGTGACACCTTGGCACATCATCAAATCCAAATCAGTGGAACTGAAGAGCCACTGCCCCTGGGGCACTGGACAGCCCTCACTGCTGTATCAGCTCCATATCATCTCCTGGCAACAAGGGCAACACACTTTAAAAAAAAGAAATTAAAATGCTTGCCACAGGTAATTAAAGATCATAGGCTAAGACTAAGAAAATGGTGATAAGGTTGAACAGTTGGTATGAGTTACTCAGAATTTATGTGCAGGATCAGTGGCTGCATTTTAAAGTGATGTTCCAACACCTGAAAAGATAAAGGAACTGCTCCTGAGGTTAAAAGGTACAGCTGGAAGGGCAAGTGTAAAACATTTATACCTCATAGTTTTGGTAGAGAAAAAAATATGGAATTACATGAGTCTAAGAAAGCAAATGAACACACAAGGAAAAGAAATTGGTTGTATTTTGCTGTG